TGAAAAAATGATGATAGTTCTTTCGCAATTAAGCATGCCCTTCAATAAAAAGTCGGGGTTTCATATTGTCAATCCACTCGAAATGTACGACTTGATCCAACAACAACACTGGAGATCATGGAGGGTCATAACAACGTCATAAAACAGGGTTTTTTCGTGAAAGAAACATTCAGTGTGTACCAATGAACTCAATATAAGTTCATTGGTGTGTACGTATAGTATGGAATAAATTCATTTTCAGCCAAACTCTATCTATTTCTGAGGAATTCCCTGAAATAGGTCGATTTTCAATCTCAATTTGCCATATTCATACGGGTAAATTGAATATACAGGGTGATCCACGTAAGACTAATGACGTCCGCGACAATGTTTTCGAATGAACACCCCATATATTATTCAATTTATGGAATCTCCATGGAAAGCTGCATTCGAAAATATATCACACATTGACTTTTTATACAGTGCGTCCGTTAAATTCAGTGCTTTCTTTTTAATGTAGTGAGTGACCATGAATTTCTTGTGACTTTTCCATATTTACTATTTGGTGAACAATCACACCTAATGAGAAAACTTAATAATTTTCTGAAAATTCATGTCACACAACTATTTAGTGAAACCTTCAAAGTGGAAACAAAGATTGAAGAATAACATTTAAAATAATTTGTATAATTTTTTATATATTATTCAAGAGCAATTTGTCTCTCATGGTTCTTTCGAAATTTGTTGACATCTGACCTTCATTTGACATCTAAAACTGAATGACTGTTAGCTGCTATGATTGTTCAGTAAATATGGAAAACTCACCAAAAACTCATATTTCTTGTTGATTTTCCTTAAAATCTGTCATTGAAGTAGATCATGAGTATATACAGTGTGGCCAATGACAAAATTAGAAGAGCTAAGTAGATGTAAATCAGTAAATGCGTATCCAAAAGCACGTGGAAAAAGGAGCTGAAATTTAGGACTTTCTCGTGAAATATCTCAATGAATAGTTGTTTCTTCACATTTCCATTATCCATAGATGAACCATGTTTCATCTATGCATTATCAAATTCGTGTTTCTGAGAGGAAAAGAAGTAAGCACGGACCCCGCACTTTTAGTACGTAAAATGGTTCTCGGTGAAATTTTCTGAATTTTCAGTATGTTGTAGAATTCGATGAACTGATTGAACCTGCAGAATCGTAAAGTTCTTTGATGAACAGATTCTGAGATACAGGGCGTTGAAGTTACAAATCGGTATTTTTCATTTAATTATTTTCTCGAAATTCAAAGATGCCAAGTACAATTTTCTTCGCTCATATTATTAACGAACCTCCATATTACTCAACATAATTCAGATGGTTTAATGATGTAATTGTTTACAGAGTGAAACATATAAACATTTCAGTGATTTTCTGCTTGCCGATCTACAAGAGTTCCGGATCTTATAAAGATTCTGATTTTCAGCTGGAAATTTCAATTTTTTACCCCAAAATTTCGACTTCAGAGTGAAAAATTCGCCGTTTACATCAAAATATCAACTTCAATAACGAATGTTTCGACTTTTATTACCAAAATTCCTACTTTTTCCAAATTTCGAAATTTTATTTGAATGTGAATTTCTAGAACAAAACAATGAGTTGAAGAATCTATTGGCCAATAATATGGTAATTCTACAGTGTGTGATCCTATAATGGGATATTTCAAAAAAATTCTTTATTCACTCGACAATTTTTGGTAAAACTGCATCATGCGATGGTTTTTTTTTCGAAAATATTTTTTGGTATTTACGTATTTTTGTCTGAAAAACACGATTTTGATAATAAAAATGTGAACAAACCATTATTTATCGAGATATTTCAAGAAACAGTTCGAAATTTTGCCTTCTTTCTCCCCTTGTGTTGGATACATTTACAGCTACTAGCTCTTCTTATTTTGTCATCGGACACTTTATATACTCATGATTTACCTCAATGACACATTTCAAGATAGAAAATTCAACAGGAAATATGATTTTCATGGCGGGTTTTTCCTATTTAGTGATCAAGCATACCAGATGACGGCCATTTAATCAATATTCAATCCAAATACGAGATGTCAAATGTCAATTGATTGCTTCGGAATGACATTACACACGCCATTATTTCAAGTGATATTCTACTTTCTCTTCACTAAATATGGATAAATCTCAAGAAAATCATATTTCTAGTTAACTTGTATAATAAAAAAAAAAGTGTCGTACGTTGTGATATATATATACAGTGTGTCCCACTTACCATGCTCACCATGGGTATCTTTTTAACGGTGAGAGATACGAGGTCGGTTAAATGACACCAAATGTGGAGTTTGTCAAGGCCAACTATAATTCTAATATTCTATGATGGTGTAATATAAATAATCCTATTATACTGGATGTTTCCGAAATAGCAGCGATAAATATGAAAAGGTGTTGTATGGGACATAATGACATAGGAGCCAGTCACTATTCATCAAATATTACCACTACAAAATAGGATGATACTATATAGTATTTGTATGATACAATTTGGTAGTAGTAATATTATTTAATTATTAAATTCATATATCTGCTATTGTTATTGAATTTCTAATGTTCACCCTGTATATGAATACTAAACTAACTTTCGTCTCCACATTCTCACGTTTCACTATTTGTGAAAAATATCGGCCACTATGCGAATTTAAGTGAACAAGTCTCATCAACTCTTCATGGAAATGGTAAGTTCCTGAATTAATAACTATGACACCCATTATGATAGGAAACTGAATTTTCAAGGCAGCGTTGAGGAGCGAATGATGAATATATTAAAAAATAATTAGGGAATTTCACCGAGTTACTCATGAATAACAGGGTGATTTCAAAAAACACGATTTTTTGTCATTTTCATCATCGAAAATCTTCATGATCACCCTATATATCTCAACGAAATCATGTTCATACGATATCAGCTATCTTTGGAGATTAACAATTCACTCGAATATACAGGATGTGTATGAATAAATCGGTCTTAGATGTCACCAATTTTTCAAATCACTCTGTATGAAATGTATGAATTGTGATTCATGATAGAATGAGAATAGAATTTTGCATGCCTAAATTATTTTTTCGATATTTCATTATAACATCGAATTTTCAGACATCACTGAAATGTTTATATGTTTCACTCTGTAAACATTTCAGTGATGTCTGAAAATTCGATGTTATAATGAAATATCGAGAAAATAATTTAGGCATGCAAAATTCTATTCTCATTCTATCATGAATCACAATTCATACATTTCATACAGAGTGATTTGAAAAATTGGTGACATCTAAGACCGATTTATTCATACACATCCTGTATATTCGAGTGAATTGTTAATCTCCAAAGATAGCTGATATCGTATGAACATGATTTCGTTGAGATATATAGGGTGATCATGAAGATTTTCGATGATGAAAATGACAAAAAATCGTGTTTTTTGAAATCACCCTGTTATTCATGAGTAACTCGGTGAAATTCCCTAATTATTTTTTAATATATTCATCATTCGCTCCTCAACGCTGCCTTGAAAATTCAGTTTCCTATCATAACGGGTGTCATAGTTATTAATTCAGGAACTTACCATTTCCATGAAGAGTTGATGAGACTTGTTCACTTACATTCGCATAGTGGCCGATATTTTTCACAAATAGTGAAACGTGAGAATGTGGAGACGAAAGTTAGTTTAGTATTCATATACAGGGTGAACATTAGAAATTCAATAACAATAGCAGATATATGAATTTAATAATTAAATAATATTACTACTACCAAATTGTATCATACAAATACTATATAGTATCATCCTATTTTGTAGTGGTAATATTTGATGAATAGTGACTGGCTCCTATGTCATTATGTCCCATACAACACCTTTTCATATTTATCGCTGCTATTTCGGAAACATCCAGTATAATAGGATTATTTATATTACACCATCATAGAATATTAGAATTATAGTTGGCCTTGACAAACTCCACATTTGGTGTCATTTAACCGACCTCGTATCTCTCACCGTTAAAAAGATACCCATGGTGAGCATGGTAAGTGGGACACACTGTATATATATATCACAACGTACGACACTTTTTTTTTTATTATACAAGTTAACTAGAAATATGATTTTCTTGAGATTTATCCATATTTAGTGAAGAGAAAGTAGAATATCACTTGAAATAATGGCGTGTGTAATGTCATTCCGAAGCAATCAATTGACATTTGACATCTCGTATTTGGATTGAATATTGATTAAATGGCCGTCATCTGGTATGCTTGATCACTAAATAGGAAAAACCCGCCATGAAAATCATATTTCCTGTTGAATTTTCTATCTTGAAATGTGTCATTGAGGTAAATCATGAGTATATAAAGTGTCCGATGACAAAATAAGAAGAGCTAGTAGCTGTAAATGTATCCAACACAAGGGGAGAAAGAAGGCAAAATTTCGAACTGTTTCTTGAAATATCTCGATAAATAATGGTTTGTTCACATTTTTATTATCAAAATCGTGTTTTTCAGACAAAAATACGTAAGTACCAAAAAATATTTTCGAAAAAAAAAACCATCGCATGATGCAGTTTTACCAAAAATTGTCGAGTGAATAAAGAATTTTTTTGAAATATCCCATTATAGGATCACACACTGTAGAATTACCATATTATTGGCCAATAGATTCTTCAACTCATTGTTTTGTTCTAGAAATTCACATTCAAATAAAATTTCGAAATTTGGAAAAAGTAGGAATTTTGGTAATAAAAGTCGAAACATTCGGGATTGAAGTTGAGATTTTGATGTAAACGGCGAATTTTTCACTCTGAAGTCGAAATTTTGGAAAGAAAATTGAAATTTCCAGCTAAAAAATCAGAATCTTCATAAGATCCGGAACTCTTGTAGATCGGCAAGCAGAAAATATGAAAACCGAGATGAAAACCATAAGAATTGGTGTCCAATATGATCTAAAAGCATTGATATCAACTCACCGGCATCCTTTCCTCAGTTAAGATACACTTTTCAATATTCAGAAATTCAAATTCAAATAATCTAACAGTCAGTTTTCACCACAAACACACACTTGCGTAGTAAACGATATACTGATAATAGATTCGACTGTTCTCAGAACAGTCGTGTTCTGTAATCGAATGATTCACAATTTTTTTCTCGATTTCGATACGATAAACAGTCCTCACTTTTTTCATAGAACATTCCATTAATCGGACGTAAATAACAGAGTATCAAAAGTTTGAAGATTTTCAGGGCGATACAAATAAACATGGTGACCAAGTACCAATATAAAATATTTCTATAGAATCAGTAAAACTTGAAAAAAATATAATGGTTCTTTCAATGAACATAAAATATGCCCTCCAGAAGGGTATCGAGGATTCATTTGGTCAACTTGTTTCTTTGGATATTGGAAACGTCATTTATATGTTTATACAACGTGATTTATGGGGAGTATTTTTTTCCAATTATTAAGTATTCAATTGAAATGAAGAATGAACCTAATAATTTTCGTTCGACTTGTTCCTACACCTACACTATAAAATTGGGGAGGGTCGAAATACAGGGCGTCCCAACTCTTCAACGAGGAAAATTTTTTTTTTCGATCCAACGGAAGTAATCAGGAAACACTACTGTTGTATATATAAAATAGCATACTCCAAGAGCCGGGTGCAAATTTCGACCGTCATCTGATAACGAAATGATTTACAGTGTGTCCCAGCTAGAACTTGTCACCCCCCTAATCTCCGATGTAGTAAGGAAAATTGAAAATCGCTCGGACAGTTCCATTTCAATTTGGCGATTGACACATTTTTCTGCAATTATCATATTCCAAAGTTGAAACCTTGAAGCATAACGGGCATCAACTCTCGATTTTCAAATGGAACACCCTGTATTTCATTGCATTCTAAGATCATACCTGAAGAGCTGCTTTCATCAATATCACATTTGGTGTCTAGCAGGAATGATTACAGAGATATAGGGTGTTCAAAATAGAGATTTTTCAACTTTAAGAATTTTTTTGTGTCGAAACTATTCATTATCGGTCAAAACGGCTTCCATGTCCCTATCTTAACTTTTGATTTACTATCTACTGACATTTAATTGGTACAAATACAGGGTAGTTCAAGATTCAGAAACCTGATCACCCTGTATCTGTTCCAATTAAATCTCATTAGATAGTAAATCAGAAGTTAAGATGGGGACATGAAAGCCGTTTTGACTGATAATGAATAATTTCGACACAAATAGATCCTAAAGTAAAAAAATCTCGATTTTGAACACCCTATAACTCTGTAATCATTCCCGCTAGACACCAATGTTGATACTTTGTTGAAAGCAGCTCTTCAGGAAAAATCTAAAAATGCAATGAAGTACAGGGTGTTCCATTTGAAAATCGAAAGGAGATGCCCGCTACGCTTCAAGGTTTAGACTTCGGAATATGATGATTGCAGAAAAATGTGTCCCCCGCCAAATTGAAATCAACCTGTTCGAGCAATTTTCAAGAGACACACTGTATGTGCCAAAGGCATTTGAAACAAATGTATTTTATCGACCGGCACCTAAGCAAATCACTATCCTGAGCAAAATGATTGAAAAATTGCACTTTCCCGTGCGGAAATTCGCACTTGATTACCACAAGAACTGAAGATGAGTAAAATAACTCCACTCTTCAAATCGGGAGATAAAAAATTCATGAACAATTACAGACCTATCTCGGTAGTGAGCGTATTTTCTAAACTAACAGAAAAAATTATGAAGAGAAGAATGTTATCTCTCATTCATACCCACCAATTGACCGATAAATTTCATATGGTTTCATAAAAAAACAGTAGCACACTTGGTGCTACTACAGACTTCATAGATTATATCTCAAGGGCTGTGGATAGAAAAGAAGTAGTTATAGCAATTTTTATTGATTTGAAAATGGCTTTTGACGTGGTGAGTATAGATATTCTGTTGAGTAAATTATCTAGATAGAATGTTATTTGAGGGAATTATGTACAGCTTAATTAAAACATGACAGAAATCAATATGTAAAACTCCAAGATACAAGTAGTGATTGGATGTCCAGTGCTTATGGGGTACCTCAGGGGTCGGTCCTTGGTCCGCTGTTGTACTCCCTCTATGTACTTAACCTCAAACTTGCCAATCTGAGGGAAAGGTATTTCACCTTTGCAGATGATACGGTTCTGCTGTACGCAGGATCAGATGAAATCTCCCTCAATACTCAAGTGAATAATGATCTAATTGCTTACCGTAAATGGCTGTTTTCAAATAAATTAAAAATTGATATTGGTAAAACCAAATATATTGTATTTAAGCAGAAAAATAAAAAAATTGACGAATTGCAACCTAACATAAATGGTGTACCTTTAGAGAAAGTGATGTGTATGAAATATTTGGGATTAATTGTAGATGAAAATTTGAACTGGTCGTCACACATTTCCAAAATCTCTGAAAAAATCCGCCCTGTATAAATATCGAGATTATCTGTCTATGAAAACTAAATTTCAAGTTTATAATTCTTATTTCTTAACACACTTCAGGTATCTTATGCCTGTGTGGGGAATGTGTGGAGAAGTTAACTTCGATAAAGTTCAGAAATTGCAAAACAAAACCCTTAAAATATTATTCAAGTATGATTGGCTCACTAGCACGAATATAATTTATTCAGAATTGAAGTTATTTCGAATAAAAGAAATTCTGGTTATAGAACAATGCAAACTTGTTTATAAAATACTCAATGATCAACAAAAAAGTAACATTGATATTGAGTTTTGCTTTGATGTACATGATTACCAAACAAGATCACATAATAACATCTACCAAATATACAGGGTGAGTCATGAGGAACTGTACATGCTCCTACTACGAATAGAGGCACCTGAGGAGAATACCAAATGACCACCAAAAAGTGTCTCCGCCTCTTCTAAAATAATCTATAGGGTGATTTATGGGATATGGCCAAAACTTCTCTCAATCATAACTTTCCAACAGTTCGTTCGATTCCTTTCATTTTTTCATGGATTATTATGCTGTCACTCAGCAATCAACTGACGTATTCAGAATTGAGAAAATCCAGGACCGGTCTTGGGAAAGCCTGCCAATTTGGTTCATATAAAAAAAACTCACCGTGTATTAGGTTTTAGTAAACTGTGATATGGAACTTCCAAAGTTGATGAACAGGCAACCAAAATGAAGTATTCGAAATTTTCCTCACACTTTCATTGAATTTCTTAGAAAATGATTAATTTATACTACACGCGAAACTTGGGCAACAAATGTATTAATTTGAAAATTAATACTTCGCAATGCATGAATTTCACGAATAATAGTAAGGATAAAATTATTCCCAATTCTTCAGCTCAACAATAATCAACCTTATTCTATTTCCAGGGTTGGATTCAGTAATTTTTTGATAGAGGATAATAATCACCAAAAATTTCACCCTGTATATGATTTTAGTAAACTGGGTCATGAAATTTTTGAAGTCGAGAAACAAGCAACCATAATAGAGCATTCATACTGTTTTAATGAATTTCTTCAAATAATAAGATCAATTATTACCAAACACGAAACTTTAGCCAAAAAATGAATTAATTTTAAAATAAATACTTCACAACGCTTTAATTTCACGTATAAAAGGAAGATTTACATTAATTCCAATTCCTAATATCAATGATAATCAACATGACTATAATTTCATCCTATATGATGTTATAGTAGGTAATGTGATGGACGAATGTTATAGCTTGAATCATTTAAATATTCTGAGGTTTTTAATCGATTTGTTATAGAGATTCTGAATATTCCAGATTTCAGTTGATGACCCGTCTGTTGAAAGAAATTGCCTGGAAATTTCTTGATTGGAATTTTCATAATATTGCGGATTTCTAAAGAACACTAAAAAAGTTCTGAGTCAATGGTTTTCAAGATTTGCACATACCATTATGATGATAAAATCATACAGTGTGACTAATGCTATTAGCGTCTACCAAAAAATTACTGAATCCAACCCTGGATATAGAAGAATGTTGATTTTCAGTGAGCTGAAGAATAGAAAATGATTTTATTCTTGCTTCTATTCGTGAGATTCTAGCGTTGCGAAGTATTCATTTTCAAATCAATACATTTGTTGCAAAAGTTTCGCGTGTAGTATAAATTATTCATTTTCTAAGAAATTCAATGAAAGTGTGAGGAAAATTTAAAATACTGCATTTTGATTGCCTGTTCATCAACTTTGAAAATTTCATATCACAGTTTACTAAAACCTTATACAGGGTGAAATTTTTTATATGAACCAAATTGGCAGAATTTCCCAAGACCGGTCCTGGATTTTTACGATTCTGAATACTTCAGTTGATTGCTGAGTGACAGCATAATAATCCATAAAAAAATGAAAGGAATCGAACGAACTGTTGGAAACTTATGGTTGAAAGAAGTTTTGGCCATATCCTATAAATCACCCTATAGATTATTTTAGAAGAGGCGGAGACACTTTCTGATGGTCATTTGGTATTCCCCACAGGTGCCTCTATTCGTAGTAGGAGCATGTACAGTTCCTCATGACTCACCCTGTATACAAGGACAGATGTAGGTTTAAAAAATCCGATCGTAGATGCCATCAAAACATTCAATAATTTACCTCAGTTTATAAAAGACTTGAATAATTATAAAAGTTTTGTTAGGAAATTGAAAGTTTATATAAACATTACTTAACTGCCCTTGTAACACTGTTTTTATTTTAAATGTTGTTAATCTCGAGGCCAGTGTTTGAAGCACTGATTGGAGATTTTTTACATTGGTTGAATTGTATTGTCATAAATGTTGCTTGAATAAACAATATCTCAAAAAAAAAATACCAATCAAATGGTAGATTTCGAGAACCTACCAGGGCCACCCTTCAGTCTGAGCCAAATCCACGGCACAGCAATTTTTGCTGCTATTATTCCGGACATATACTTCCGTCATGTGATAACGAGTCGGAACAAGAAGGAAATAAAAGGGGATGATGTCGCCTTTGCGAATATCCGAACGTGCCGCGATTTACACTGATCTAAGTTGGCATAGTGTCAATACTTATTCTACGGAAGCGTGTTAG